GATAACCGGAAGAACGATGGGAAACTCCTAATCGTTAACGGCGCCAAGGCAAAAGTGGTGGAGCATGCAAAGGGCTCCAAAACAAAAATAATGGGAAGAGCAAGCTCGGTTCCAAGACGAAGTTCACGGAAAATGCTTCAATTGCAATAAAAACGGACACAAGTCCGCACATTGCAAGGCACCAAAGAGGAAGAAAGATTCTCACGTCAACATGGTGCAAGGTGGGCAAAAGGATGAAGACATCATCCTTGCGGCCGTGGTGACCGAGGTCAACCTCGTTGGATCCAATTCCAAGGAGTGATTCGTGGACACCGGTGCTACCCATCATATTTGCTCAAACCGGGAGCTATTCACGACCTTTGAGCCATCAAATGATGAAAATGTGTGGATGGGAAATTCTGCTCATTTCATGATTGAAGGCGTGGGCAAGGTGGTCCTGAAGATGACTTCGGGCAAAGAGCTGACTCTTAACCAAGTGTTGTTCGTCCCGAAAATACGCAAAAACCTGATTTCCGGTTCATTGTTGAACAAGCATGGCTTCCGCATGGTTTTTGAGTCGGACAAACTAGTTTTGTCTAAGTCGGGAATGTATGTGGGCAAGGGGTATGCAGTTGATGGGCTGTTTAAGCTCAATGTAATGACGATTAATAATAATAATAATAATAAAATACCTTCTCTTACTTGCTTGAGTCTTCCAATGTGTGGCATGGTAGACTAGGACATGTTAATTTTAATTCTATACGTAGATTAATTAACATGGAACACATTCCTAAATTCACAATTGATGTGAAGCACAAATGTGAAGTTTGTGTAGAGGCAAAACTAACGAAAACGTCTTTCAAATCGGTTGAAAGAAAAACGGAACCACTTGAAATAATTCATAGTGACATTTGAGATTTTAAATCGTTACAAACACGTGGCGGTAATAAATATTTTATTACTTTTATCGATGATAGGACTCGCTATAGCTATGTTTATTTATTAAAAAATAAACACCAAGCAATCGATAAATTCATTCTTTATAAGAATGAAGTGGAAAACCAACTTAATTGACGGATTAAAATGGTTAAAAGTGATCAAGGTGGTGAGTATGAAGCATCAATTGGTGAACGTGGGTATAGTACACGAACGTACCACACCATATTCACCTCAATCAAACGGTGTTGCCGAATGAAAGAATCCCACATTGAAAGATAAGATGAATGCGATGCTAGTAAGTTTGAGCCTACCACAAAATATGTGGGGCGAAGCAGTCTTGTCAAGAAATTACCTTTTAATTAAGGTTCCCCAGAAAAAATATGATAAAACTCCGTACGAGTTGTGGAAAGATAGACAGCCTTCCTATCAATATTTAAAAGTGTGGGGGTGTCTTGCAAAAGTGCTTGTACCAACACCTAAGAAAATAAAAATAGGTTCAAAAACGGTGGATTGTATTTTTATTGGATATGCACAAAATAGTAGTACTTATCGGGTTTTAGTGTACGACTCGAATAATCCGGATGTACATAAAAACAAAATAATTGAATCAAGGAATGCTTCATTCTTTGAAGACGTATTTCCATGCAAATCCAACGAAGGACCAAGCACGTCAAAACGAACATTTGATGTAGCTATGGAAAATACTAGCAAGGGGTCCGGAGAAGAAGCCGAACCCAGACGTAGCAAACATGTTAGAGTTAAAAAATCCTTCGGATCGGATTTTCTCACCCACTTGGTAAAATTTGACTCGGATATTCTAACATGTATGATAAAAAAAGAACCGAATTTTCTAACATGTTTGGTAGAAAATGAGTCACGGACTTATACGGAAGCCGTGACGTCTACCGAAGGTCCTATGTGGAAAGAAGCCATCAAAAGCGAGGTGGATTCTATCCTACAAAATCACACGTGGGAATTGGTAGATCTTCCTCTGGGAAATAAACCTTTGGGATCCAAGTAGATTTTTAAACGAAAAATGAAACCTGATGGTTCCATCGATGAGTACAAGGCCAAACTTGTAATCAAGGGATACAAGCAACGTGAGGGCCATGATTACTTTGACACGTATTCTCCTGTGACGAGAATAAATTCCATTAGGATGATACTGGCAATTGCCGCATTACGGAAATTGGAAGTTCATCAAATGGATGTAAAAACCGCCTTTCTAAATGGCGATATAGACAAAGAAATCTATATGGAACAACCCGATGGCTTTCGTGTTCCTGGCCAAGAAAGGAAAGTGTGTAAATTAATTAAATCATTGTATGGACTGAAACAAGCCCCTAAACAATGGCACAAAAAGTTCGACCATGCAATGTTAATTAATGGTTTTAAAATAAACGAAAGTGACAAATGCGTCTATGTGAAAAGCACATTAGACGGCTATGTCATTTTATGTTTATACGTGGATGATATACTCATCGTGGGTAGCAATAATCTAATGATTAATTCTACCAAAAGCATATTAAATTCTAAATTTGACATGAAGGATATGGGCTGGCCGATTTAATCTTTGGGATTTAAATAATTAGAGGACCAGACGGTCTTATGCTAAGCCAATCACATTACGTTGATAAAATCCTTACGATATTCAATAAGGATGATTATCAAGAGGCAAGGACTCTATTAGATAAAAACGTACACCTTGCCAAAAATCATGGAGAGTGTATTTCTCAAGTAGAATACGCTAGGATTATTGTAAGCTTGATGTATCTAATCAGTTGTACCATGATATTGACTTTGTGGTTAGCAAGCTAAGTAGATATACTAGTAAGGGTTTTGAGGTATTTACAAAAAATCCAAAACCTTGGACTGCACTATGGAAGATATCCAGTTGTACTCGAAAGGTATAGCGACGCTAGTTGAATATCCGATATTAAGGACTCAAAGTCCACAAGTGGATATGTTTTCACTTTGGGAGGTGCGGCCGTGTCATGGAAATCCTCGAAACAAACGATAATAGCTAGATCCACGATAGAATCTGAGCTAATAGCCTTGGATAAGTCCACTGAAGAGGCTGAATGGCTACGCCATTTTCTCGAGGATATTCCATGTTGGGAAAAGTTTGTCCCTCCAATATGCATACATTGCGATTGTCAAGCGGCAATTCGAAGGGTACAGAGCAACATGTACAATGACAAGTCTAGACACGTTCGTCGTAGACATAGAACCATTAAACAACTCCTCAAAACAGGTGTTATCACGGTTGACTACGTGAAGTCAAAGGATAACATAGCAGATCCGCTAACCAAGGCATTGGATAAAGAATTGTTGGAGAAGTTGTCATGAGGAATGGGACTAAAGCCCGTTAATTGAAAAGTTCTATAGTGGACACTCAACCTAGTTGGTCCTAGGTTCAAAAGCCCGTGTCTTTTTAAGTCTCAAAAATCGATTTTCATTCATGTGGGGGATTGTTGGGAAAGTGTTTAAAAATTGCATTAAATGGTCATTTTGGGGTAATTTTTTGAGTGGGGTCCACTTCTGATTTGGGTCGGGTCACAGTGGTTTCGGATTGTTTTTGCTAAGGGATACAATTCGATATATGGTACACTCAAAACGGATAAAAGGTGAATGATAAATTGATTCTCGAAGTTCACTCGTTGAAATGGAAAAAATGAGAAAATGATAGGTTTCTAGTGGGATTTATCCCACATCGAAAAACCCAAGGGATTCTCACCCCCTTATAAAGGGAACTCTCTTTGAAAGAGTTAAGATTCCTACGAGGAAAGGCTCTCTTCACGCGCGGGCGACCTGCGAACACGAATGTCGTCCAAAAATCTATCATTCAAAGATACGATTTAATTTTTGTTTCTTCCCGTAACGTTCCTAACTTTTTTCCAGACTGCCAGAACTGCTCCACTTCTGTCCGAAATAGAAGAGGGTATCACCAGAACCGCTCAACTTTTGTTCGGACTAGAAGGGCACGAGGTATTCTGTCTGTGCCAGAAGACCTTAGAGGTATTCTGTTGGCTTCCGGAACAGAATACATAAGCGCAGTTATCAGCCGTTACGAAAGTTAATGCCCAACGTTCTTATCTTTTAATGCTTCTTTAAATGGACAATTTTTCTACATATTAATGCCAAACGTGTTGGACACTTATGTGAAACGTTCAGGTCCATTAAAGCTCGGTTAACACGCCACAAATCCTCTTATAAATGGCTGCCAGGTGCTTTGCAACAAACACACGTTCACAAGCAATCTGCACGTAGTTTTTAGCTCTAAAAACACTTCCAGCTACTCTGAAAATTTCCTTGGTGTTCTACCTTTGTTGCCGTTCGCCGAAACTTTCGTTTGTGTGCTCAAATGTTAGTTCGTTAGCCACCGTATCCTGGAAAATGGTCGTTGCAACGCTCTAGCACCGTGGGAGGCGACGAATACGTTTTAAGGACATCGTGCGTAGCACGAGCTCTGGCTAAATTCTGCTTCATCTATTTTCTGTTTTCTTTAGTCATTTTAATTAATTAATTTTTATTAATTATTTTCTTTGTTTTCAAAATACACCCAACATCTCCTAAAATGACTAATATAGAATTCATGAGAGAAAATCTGACTAACTATGAATATAATGTCATAATTAATACAGAATAAAATTGAATATAATCATAGTCATTTATAGTTACTAATATAACCACATTAAATATGAAATCACCTTTTTTGTATCATCTTTAATTCTCTCATATAAAAGTCATTTTTTAATGTATCACAAAAGTGTTAATAGATAAGTGTCAAATGCATCTTTGATAGTTTTTATAAAATTATAGTATCCACTTCATTCATTTGATGACCTAAAATGTTGTGCGGATGGAGGATGGGCCAAATATATTTTTATATATACTTGGGAACTAGTAAAAGAGAAAGAAAGAACTCATTTCATCCTTCAAAAAATTAGAGGTTTCTAGCTATAAACCAGAGATGTGGAGAGATACAAGGCTACAGAGAGCCTTTTTTGTAGGAGGTAACAGTTGGGGGAGACTCCAATGTGTAGTATTTCTTGTAAGATGGAAAAAATGAATCCTTGCAAGATGGGATATAACAAAGAGCACAACCTAGAAAGAAACCATTTTGCCATTTTTTTCGAGAAAATTCATTCTGAACATTTTTTTTGTCTTATCTATGTTTGATTTGATTAGAAAAACAATAAGGCATTGAGGTTACTTTTCAATTTGTAAAAAAATATACCGAAAAGTATTTTAGCAAAAGAGGTCAAAAACACTTGTGGCCGGATGTGGTGGTGGTGAGGTTTTCACGAATATTAGAAATTTATGTGGTCGCAAAAGACGTCTATTTCTAATTAGCATTTTATTGGGCTGAGTTTGTGTGAGAAATCTGTTACCAATTGTGGAATTTTTCACCCCCGGCCGTAGCAATTCAATATTCTCGGCCGGAGAATTTCATTGAATATTCAAATGGATGCAAATGCGAGTCCTCCCTCAACACCGACGGAAACACCACCGCCTCCATTAGAAACACCACCGCCCAAAGAGTCCCCGCCTCCATCACCACCACAATCTTCTCCCCCACCTCCATTATCTCCACCCCCATCCTCCCCTCCACCGCCTACCCCTCATTCGTCTTCCCCTCCTCCCCCTTCTTCACCTCCTCCAACACCTTTGGCTCCACCGCCACAAACTCCGCCGTCAGCGCAACCTCCTCTCTCACCTACACTTACACCCCCTCCACCAGGAGACCAATCCCCACCTCCCAATGACACACCTTCACCACCGCCACCATCAACGACTCCACCACCGACCCCATTTGTGCCATCAGCTCCTCAAACTCCAAATGGAACGGGAAACCCTCCTCCCTCAATCATATTCTCTCCGCCTCCCCCATCATTGTCGCCTCCTTCACCATCAACCCAACCTCCCGGCGGATCAAGAAGCTCTTCTCCATCAAATAATTCATCTTCATCCAGTGCGGCTATCATCGGTGGAGCCACCGTTGGTGCCGGAGTTTTCATCATAGCTCTTGGTATCATTCTTTTCTTCTGCATGAGGAAGAGAAAGAAACAACAACAATACGTTGACTATATGCATCCCACACGTCCTTATAGAGGTACTATAATTGTGTATTATTAAATATTTCATATGTATACATTGTTGTTAATATTCCATGGATTTCATCACGCATTGCTCATGTATTCTGTAATTTGGAACCTAGCCTCTAAGTATTGAAATCTAGCCTCTAAATAAAATATGTTCTCCATGTGCCTATTGGTTTAATGAACATAATGTTGGTGAACCACGTAAAAATTTGTCTCTCTCTTGAGTTATATTTTCCGTGCATCCATTATAACCATTTGTGATGAGGAAGATACACACACACACACACACGCTCACTCACTCTCTCACACACACATAATTGTCCCAAATAAGAGTAAAACGCTTGTAATTCTAAAATAGAATTTTCATGTTTTTATTCCCTAAATAAGAGTAAGTAGTGGCATGTTTTGGCATTGCAACACTTTAACATTGTAGTATTTTCCAAACTTGTCAGTTTACTCCCAGCTATTTAAGGAATAAAAACACGATAGTTTTATTTTGTAATTCCAAAATGTTCTTACTTCTATTTCGAGAATTTTTCCTATATATAACCTTTGCATGCATGCATAACAACGTAGGAGGAGAGCATGTGCTTAGGGTACCGCCGCCACCAGGAGGAATGCAGGGTGGTGGTCCAGGTTGGGGTCCAATGCCGATGAGTTCAAGTAGTGAGTTCACATCAGGTTTTTCCGGACCACATCACAACACTCCGTTGCCACCTCATTCACCAATGGGCATGGGAGGGTACAACCAAAGCCAATTCACGTATGAGGAACTTGCAGCTGCAACAGCTGGCTTTTCCCAAGAAAATTTGTTGGGACAAGGCGGTTTCGGTTACGTGCATAAAGGGGTTCTACCCAATGGAAGGGAAGTGGCGGTCAAGAGCTTGAAATCAGGCAGCGGGCAAGGGGAAAGGGAGTTCCAGGCTGAAGTTGAGATCATTAGTAGAGTTCACCATCGTCACCTTGTCTCCCTTGTTGGATATTGCATTGCTGAAGAACAGAGGATGCTTGTTTATGAATATGTTCCTAATAACACCTTGGAATTCCACTTGCATGGTATGTCACACAATATGATTTCAATAAAAAAATATAGACCCACTTAATTAATTTGTATAATATATTAAGAATTTGTATATTATTTGAGTATTGTTATACAAGTAGAACTGCACTAACTAAATACGTAATATAAAGATATAAATCAATACATGAAGTGTTAACTTTCGTGCTACTCCTTCTATCGGGTTGACTCGTAATACGAAGTCCCAACTCTTATGGTGACATTTTGAATATAGAACATGTGTTTTCTACAACTATATAGACCATGTATTTTTGGAAGACAAAGTTTCTAACTCTTAGGGTGAACATTTTTTTTTAATTTAGGAAAAGGCCAACCAGTAATGGATTGGCCAACCCGACTCAAGATTGCAGTGGGGTCAGCCAAAGGATTGAGTTATTTACATGAAGATTGCCATCCTCGAATTATCCATCGAGACATCAAATCTGCAAACATTTTACTTGACAACCAGTTTGAAGCAATGGTAAGTATGAATTCATGGAAGCACACACATGCACAAATATATACTTCCTTCATCCCTTATAACTTTGTTAAAGTTGACCTAACACACAGAACAATACAGTTAAACTTGTGTGGTTGAGATTTGTGAGGACCTAGGATTAACAAGAACCATACATTCTTTATTTAAAAGGGAAAGTGACAAAGTTAATGAGACAACAAAAAATGTATTATCAAAGTTATATATAAAGGACATATGAAGTATTTCATTAGCGATAAAGATAGATTATGCACATGCTGATATAAACACTTACCTTTCTTTCATGGGGATAATGATGTTGATATTATTTTACAGGTTGCAGATTTTGGATTGGCGAAACTCTCATCTGATAATAACACTCACGTCTCAACTCGTGTCATGGGAACTTTTGGGTACATGAAATAAAATATTGTGGCGTTGAAACTAATTTTGATATGACATTGATAATCCAAAAATCCCTGTTTGTAATTCTAAAACCAATATATGCAATGGTGAATGTATTAAATCAGTTAAATTTAACATAACACATCAATATATTTGGTTGATCATGTGGTGCAGTGCATATAAGAGAGTAGATTAATAAATTATAAATTGTATAATTCTCTTAGGTACTTGGCTCCAGAGTACGCATCTAGTGGAAAGCTAACAGATAAATCAGATGTTTTCTCATTTGGAGTCATGCTTTTAGAACTTATAACTGGACGTCGACCTTTGGATCTTACGAATAACGTCATGGAGGATAGCTTAGTAGACTGGGTGAGTCACTTCAAATATGTACTTATTTTATTTTACATTGTTCCAAACTTTAAGATATTATCACACATCCTCAATGAAATAACAAACTAACAAAAAGGATGTTAAAGTACTCTTTGTGTCCATTGATATTTTAATATAGAAAGTTAGAAACCAAAACGTTGATATGCTATCAAAACCAGGTTGATCAGTATCCTATCAAAGTAATCTTAGGGTATAACTCTGAATCTTAATATTATCATATTTTAATTAGAATAGCACATTAGACAAATGAACTATGGATATATATTGCATGTTTAGTGAATTGTGGTATGTGTATGGGGGTGTACAGGCTAGACCACTCATTGCAAAAGCTATTGAAGACGGTAACTACGATGAATTGGTAGATCCGCGATTAGAGGGAAACTACAATTCTCACGAGATGGGTCGTATGGTTGCGTGCGCTGGGGCATGTATCCGCCATTCTGCTAAAAGGCGTCCCAAAATGAGCCAGGTATGTGTCTTATTATCTATACACACAATTGTGGTGTTAGACTTATTTCTTATTCTCCACATTCTTACTTCACTTCAACAATTGTGCATGTAATGAAAGATTGTGAGGGCATGGGATGGTGATTTTTCTCTAGATGACTTGAATGATGGTGTGGAGGGGGTAACATTGGGGACAACGAGATCGAACGAAACAGGTTTGTATGACACACGGGCGTACAATGCAGACATGTTGAAGTTCAAAGAAATGGTAATGTCAAACCAGGAAAGTAGTGAGTTTGGAGGTAAAACTACAAGTCTTGACCACCCATCCAATTCTACCTCTAGTTTCGATGATTCAAGAGAGAACTCCGGTCCTCGATAAACTACATGTAGATTTTAAATCATAAACTAAATCACACTTACATGTGTTTATTAGCTCGATCATATGCATCCACACACCAAATACAATGTTAATATTGACTTACCATCTTGTTTGGATATGAACCTCGAAAAGCACATTTCCTAAATTAGTATGTGTACACATAAACTCTACTCCTTTGTAAATGAAAATCTTATCAGACATTAGTTCGTGACTTTGTATTTGCATGAGTAATGTTGCATCTACTACATTAATCATCTCAAATAACCTAATACTTTGATATAAGAAGAAATGCTCAATGAATAGGATTATGTCGGTACAATGAAAATTGTATAAATAAACATGTCGCCTAAATTGGAAAAGCATTGGGTAAAAATCAAGGAATGACTTAAAAAGATGTATAGATTATTACTAAAAATATTAATAAACATGTGAAAAAGAGGAAAATAAAGTTTTAAAGGATTATATGAGATAACACAAAATATATACATTAGCAGTTGTAAATGAAACAGTAATGGTTCATAAAAAAGAACTTATACAGAAGAGTGTAAGTGAATTAAAATTTCTTTCTAATTTGATAGTATTAAATTGTTAAGGTTAAAATGTACTCCATAACTTACACCCTTTGTCCCTTTTTTTTAACGGGTATGTTCATTCCAAAACAACTTTAAAACAATTCATTGACCAATATGGGTGCGCTTTGTGGTGTAAAGTGGAAGAGGAATTTCAAGCAGGTGCAAACTCCCTTACAAAAATGATTCCATGTGTTACAACATTCCTCATGGAAAACAACTTCACGAAGTTTACACTTCTGCCAAATTTACGAAATTTCAAAATGAAGTCATCAGTAAGGTGCATTACGACCTTTTGCATAGTACGTGAACTTTGTTATTGATTACGACCTTGCAAGCGGTCACCAAATATGTATTTTCCGTTTGTATGAGTTTAGGGTCAAATAACTTTGACTGTAGTTATATTTAATTATGTATTAATAAGCATTATAAAAAGTTAATATTTTGAATCTACAATAGCAGAAACTTAACAATATTTTATACATAAAAATTTGATTATATATATATTAGTAGAAAATCATTGTCAGATTAAGGTGTGTGAGTAGTGCAAAAATCACAATATTGCAACTATTAAAGAACGGAGGAAGTATGATGAATTAATTAAAATATGATCACTCTTTCACTCTTTGGTTTAACACTATGTTTCATTCAAATGCATATCGACATTCTTTCAAAAGATCGTGAAAGGAGAGTTTGAAGTGATCAGAGAATCAAAATATTCAATGAATCAATGATAAATAAAAGAGGAAAACAATGTTGAGATTATATGTTTGGGTTTCACTCAAAAGTTGGGTGGAAAGTTAGATTAGATATAGAATAGAGACCCCATACAAATCGAAAATTGTGAGATTCGTTGAGATGGACTATAGAATCACTCATAAAGACGAATACCTAAAAAATAGGAGAACTCATATACATCGAGAAGATACTTAGGTGTCGTTGAAGAAGAAATAAATAAGTAGAAGTAGCGATCCAAACACAGAATATAGTAGAAGAAATTTTGATACAACGAATTTGAGAAAGTTGGAGATAGCAAATGACCAGCAGATGTTGATAAATTTAGGTAAATACTCAAAAATAATATATGTATGCAAATTTATGCAAAGGTCCTTTTCAGTTGTTGAGATACTTAACTCACTCAATTAGTGTGTATATAGATACATAATAATTAGCATCAAACTATAATTTCACATTATTCTATGAAATTATGATTACTATTCCACATGTGAGTTAAGTACAATATGTCTGATTTACCATGTTTCTTAGTTTTCATAGTTTGATGTACTCCTCAATTAACGTTTAAAATGATAATACGTACAGTGTTGAGAAATGTGAATCGTATACAACTTGCGTAATTGATAAGTCCGTATTTAGACACACATTTGATGCATGTTTAGATCCACTTTTGATGGTTTCCCTAATTATTCTGTGTCACGAGTCTCATTTTTAGCTCAAGTCATAGTTACCGGATGTTGGTTCGAGTTTTGTATTGTTTAGAGTCAAAATCAGGGATTTGAGCCCAACACCAGCGCTTGAGATGAAATCAGGATGATTCGAGATGCATTTAATAAAGAATTTAGAGCTTTGGAGGTCACCGGGAGGTTCACGACGAAGATTTGAAGACAAAAGAGCTCTAGGAATTGGCTACGGGATCAAAAGAGCTTGAAAACGGCGATGAGGATGAATTCTGTCAATCATTCAAGTATATCTTATTTTAGAAACACCCAAAGTGCACGATTCAAGTTCCATATGAAATCCAACTTCAAGAGCTACAAATCATATGAAGACATCATTCCAAGAATCTGAGAGGAGAAAGGTGAAAACAGACGAAGAAGTCAGAATGTGACCTTCCATCATTTTATTCATATCTTTTGATTGGATGATTCAAATTCAGTTTTGCAAGTTGTTTTGGATAGAGGACTTCATGATCTATAACTTTCGTGAAGGAAGCATTGTCAAATTCGGAGAGGAAACAACGATGGAACTACTGCCATTCAGGCACGCCGTGTTTTTTAGTCCACATGCACGGTCGCAGGCACGGTCGTGCCTAACGCCGTGCCTGACCTCGAAAATCCTATTCCACTTGAATTTTATCCGTTTTTTCCTATTTAAACAGCTTGTAAACCCCTTTTTTGATACGGAGCTTAGAGAAAGGTCTAGGGACGAAATTTCTTCTGCTTTTCCATCTTGTTCTTCAATTCCATTAGATTATTTGTAAGTTCCTACTTTTTAATTAATTCTGTTCATCCCAATTCTGTTGATCATTCAATTATGAGTTGTGCGTAGTTTTAATTAGGGATTTGGGATTAATGAAGGGGTTGATTATGATGTATGGCTAAACTCATGATGGATTAATTGCATGAATATTATTTAATTTGTGTTTGAATAATTTAATTGATATCTCTTGTAACCTAGAACCGCGGCTAGAATTACAATTGCTTGTAGAATAAATTAATATGTTTTGTTTTTAGTATTAAGGCCATAAAAATGTTTTAAATGAAAAAAAAAATTGTCAAAAAATCAATTTTTGCCAAACAATATCTTTTTTGTTTGCAAAAAATTGATTTTTTTTTGTTTCAATAGCAGGAGTTTATTTTGTGATGTAACTCATGTTATAGAAAATGTAACTCGCGTTAATGGAAAATCTAACTTAGGAATATGCAAAATGTAACTTGTTGAGATAAGTCCAAATGTAACTCACATATAGAAATATGTAACACACGCATTACAAAAGGTGTAACTCGCGCATGTGAGGATGTAATTCCATATATTATCAAATTATTCAAATATAAATAATGAAAACAAAGAGTGTAATTGCTCAATTAATTATAATTGCCAAAAGATATTTTATGAAAATATAAACGACACATATGAAAATCAAATGTAAATCATAATAAACAAATTTAATGTCTTATAAAAGAGATAAGAAATATATTATAGAAAAAAGTGTATGAATGTGAAAAAATATATTATGAAAAAATGTATAAATATAAAAAATCACATAAAAAATAAATTTTATTGTAATTTCATTTGAAGAGAGAAAATAGAAAAACAAGTGTATGACTAAGGACTAAGATAGAAAAAAAAAGTAATTAATTTATTTTGAAATGAAAAAAATTGGATCAGAAAATTGCAGTACTCCTAACACATTCCAATGATCATGAATTAGAAAAAAACCCATTCCGAAATAGTGGATTCCATGATTGTTAGCTATCGATTGTTAGCTTTCGATTAAAAGTAAAACAAAAACAAAAAAAGAACAAAAGAAACAATGGTGGGATGGGGCATTGCGACTAGAGTAAGAGATCGTGGTGATCAATGATAGCATTGCGACTAGAGTAAGAACAAAAGAGCCTACTGTCATTCTGATGAATTGTCATTCTGGTGAATTGTCATTCTGCCAAGTCAGGTACGTAACCTCCTCCTCCTCCTCCTCCTCCTCCTCCTCCTCCTGGCTGCAGTTTATGGCGGAGGAGCTATGTTGCATCAGAGGCAAAGAGGAGTTCAATCGCAGGTGAGGAACGATGTTCAATCGGCTAAGCTAACAAGAGAGGAGCAAGCTGGGTAGGTTTAAATGTTTAATAAGGGCAAAAGAGTAATCTAAAATCTTATTTTGCAGGTCCAACTGTCAGGAGGCAGCACTCCCAACTCCTCAGTCCCCAAGCCGCGTGACCGTGACTAACCTTCCCACCATCCTGTCGAGTCGCGGTGAGGCTAATGGGGCGAGAGATTCCATCTTTTGGATTTTGGAACAATGGTATAATTTGCCTTGTAACATACAATAACTCTTTAGTCTTTAGGCCCTGCAGTTTCTCAAATTTGCATTCATAGCCCTAAATAAAGCAGTAGCTGAGTGGCTGGGCAAGCTGATCAGCAGAATTTTGTGGTTTTCTGTTGAATCTCATCGTTCCTGGTTAGGTCGGAAATAACTGAAACAAATCTCCGGCGAAAGGGATCATGATAACTCAGGCTAAACTCGTCGAGCAACTCAGAGATTACCAGATCAGATCACAGCACAAGTGCCCTGCTCTTACTATCTTCTCCCCTAAACCATTCCTCACCACCTGGTATTTCTCTCTCAATAAATTCATGAACGAATCTTCTTCTCCTTTTCTAATAAATTTTCTCTGGACATTGTTGAGGCGTTTCATAGTTATCTCTTTTTCTTAAATGCGTAAATGGACGCCATTGTTTATATATGTGGATGCATTTTGTGCCTGATGATTTTCCTGGAGAATATTCTGTCGACTGCAGTGATTTTTCGTATTAATGTTTTCATCGATTGGTCTCCTGTTACTGTTTTCTGAGGCCTGAAATTTATATGTTCTTTAAATAGGCAGTCTTCTCTGTGCATTATGATTGCATTGGCTGCTAGAATAGCAAAATATGTCCAGAATACTGAATTCTGAATTAGGGTTAAGATGTAAAGAGCTTAATTTTGAATGAATTATTGTTCTTCTTTGCCTCCGTGCAATGATGGCATTTGGGGAATTGAATTGTCTTTGTTGGGACTATAATGTATCTTTGGTGGTATGGTAATTTGTAATTGCTCCCTGTTTCCTCACACTTTTGTGTTATTTGATTCATCATTACTCCGATTCTTGATTAACTAGGTTCTTAAACTTATTCATCTGTTAAA